TGTTGGGTCTGGGCTTGTTCTCGTCATCATCGTCGCGGTAGCTGCTGTCCTGCTTGGGAGGCTTCCTGTTTTTCTCCTCATTGATGCGCAGCTCAATAATCGCCAAAGATTCCAAAGTAAACTTCTTGAAGCTATCAGGTCCTGGCGGTGCAATAAGGGGTGCAGCCATGTTTTCATCCTGCAGCTACCTGGTCTTTAGGTGTGTCCCATCCACAGTAGCAGCTCTGCAGGTGGAGCAGACGGAGCGGAGAGGTTAGACAAACATTCAAAACACTTTCCTTCTAAAGACCTTGTTGATGTTGCCCAACTGGATACTATTAGTTATTTATCCAAGTGTAGCTCATTTGACTTTTCAGCAATAATCCTGAACACTTTGTGAATAAAGGAAGAGATTTGGAACCAAAAGGGACCAAAATAGATTAAAGGTCACAAACACCTATATGCATGTTTATGAAAACACACTTGTTTTGAAGTTCCATGTAATATTAATTAAAAACAACTAGATCCAAATAGAGGAAATGCAAAACAAACACTATAAATGATTATTATATGTACACTGGTTTTAGAATGGAAGAAATTACTACTAGATAAGATACTACAAAAATGGCTGCCCTTATGATAAATCCTTTGCAACATTATTTATTCGTAATATTCCCTTTCTTTTTTTTTAACAATTTAACAATAAATAAAAGCATTTGCCCGAAAACAGAAGACTACAACAAGGAGACAAGATTGTACAGGACATTTGATGCTTCATGATAGTGGTTTATATATATTGTATACAACTATATATATTACACACAATGTTTGCACAGCTGTCAATGCACATAGGGAGAACAAGACTGTTCAGCAGCTAAAGAGATGTTTACCTCAACCCTCTTCAACACTCGCTGCCTATGGACAAGTATTTATGTCTCTCTTTAAATAACTATAGATATAAATAGATCTGTTTATATTTGGTGTTTTATAACACCTTTTATTATATGTTCACAGGTATCATTTTGAACAGTCAAAACAAAGCAGATGGCTGCCAAAGCCACAGTAATTATATCCTTTTAAGGATATTAAGCTACCTCCTCATTCATTATCTTCCTCCCTTTTCCCAGTTAGGGGAGGTGGAAACATGAACAGAGTTGTGTTCAACAATCAGTTAACGTCAACAGAGGAAACTGGAACCTTAAAACAAAGTATTATTTTACATGAAAACTGATTACACAAAAGTAGTGGCTACAATGGAGCTTTCAAAAAAGGTATACTAAAGGTGAGCAGGTTCTGCATTCCCTGTCAGAAATCTCACCAAATAAGCACCAATAAGAGTGTCTTATTGTTTTAATATCTGAAATACTGTATCTTTCCTCTCCCAACAAAGACCCATTTAATGATTTTACTCCCAATTATTTTTTGAATAGCTGTGAAAACGCTAACAGGAAATCCAGAGCACTTAATGGCTGCTTGACTCAAGCCTTTTTGCAGCTCACTTAAATGTAAAAGGCTATGCTGGTAACATGTTTTGAGCTGCAGGACATGTCAGGGTCAATAAGTGAAAGGAGTTCACAAGCAGAGACACACCTGAACAGAGACATTTGGAAGATGGCTGGAATAATTGGGTCTACATGTCACCGTCAATCCCACTGTCATTTCACACAAAGCTGTTTTTCAGTCTATATGGTGGAGGCAAAGCAACCTTAATATAGAGAACACTATCATATCGTGGAAGCAAAGCAGCCTTAATATGGAGATCGCTATCCACCCTATCTGGTGGCCTGTCACTTCCCTGCTCCCCTCTTGCATAACACAGCATCATTAAACATGCTCGACGTGTAAAGCAGATATCACACAGCAAAGGCTCCACACATGAAAACATGCAGCCTGTGAGCCAAGACGTCTGTTTTAAAATGGACCCCGGAACCTCACTGTCTCTGAGCCTTCTGCTGCTCTGCTGGCGCTGTCCGCTTCAGCACCACACGGGTGCGCGCAAACACACATGCACGAATGCATACATGCAGGGTTGATCGAGAGAACAAAATCATAGCCGATCTGACAGGGAAAACCCGTTTTTCTGTTTTCTAGCTGTGCTATCCCCTCGACGCTTGTAAAGGCCTGCAGATGATCCTTCAATTCTCTCCAATGTTAGGCTAAGTCGGGTCATGAAGACAACACTCGTCTTGTGTCTCAGTCTCGAGAGTTGCACATTGCTTACATCCAGGTTTTTAATTTCCACAGAAAAAACAGACACATTTTGGTATCGTCTCAGTTCCTAATTTTAGAGACCAAATTAACACTTGTTCCCTAAACCTGTTAAGTAAGAAGGAGGGCTGTGGACGCCATTGTGTGCATTCAAATGTATTGCATTGCATAGTAAAGTGAGAAGCATTAAGGTACACGGTGCTCTCAAACAAATTAACCAAAGCAATATTGCTGCAGTGGGAGGTTTGTATGTTTGAAATGTCACGCAAACGTGGATGTGTCAAAGGAACAGGTGTAATGTCGATGAATCACAATAAATCACGGCAATATGTCCCTGATGTTGATGAACCACACCAAGCAAATCACGATTCATTTTTTCCTTTTCGGGGATATGGTGGGGTTTTTTTGCGCGTTGCCTTGAAGGATCTGCACCACACCCGTGAAGCCATGTCGAGTGCCAAATCAATAAGAGCTCTATCTGTGCACAAGATAGCCCAGAGCATGAAGCTAAACAGCAGCTTGACACTCACACTTACAGTCTGGAATATTGCGTTAAACATAACAAATAAGACGATTAGAGAACAGTGGAGGCTGCCACACCAAAATCACCTGGAGGAATGTAAATGTATTGGCTATTGCTGGTGAAACGATCAGGCTACTCACATAGCATCGAAGCAGTATGGTGATTCATGAGCCCCATCCTGTAGTCCGGAGGGTATAAAATGGCAAAAATAGTGAGCACAATTTGAAATACATCTCCTGTTTCGTTTTTTGGGGGCTGGATCAGTCAGACGGCGCTCTACCTGATGCCTAACCTGCGGGACATTTTCTCTCACAAAGGTTTAATGAACGCCTCGGATGCTCGACGAAATAAACAATCCGATTAATTCCTTGCGAAAGACATAAACTGATTGACAAATGTCGTTTTGTGTGCCCTGGTCCAGCCAATAGATGCTCACCAAGCTCAGACACCCTCTCCCATCCAGCTCCAAAAAAAGATGCGGGGCAGTGTGCGGCTCTGCGACATTTACGCAAGGATACCGACAGCGAGAAAACCTCCCCTCACCAAACAGCATATGCACCGTCTTCTCAAACGGTTAGAAATGAAGGATACTAACTTTGTAAGCGTTACAATGAATCCGGGAAGCCGTGGCAGGAGTGCAGATGTGGAAAAGATTGGGGAGAAACTGCGGTTGTCGCCATATTGTTGCCGCTATCTTCCCCCCTCAGCGCGAGCAGTCCATAATTGATGACTCTCAGCAGAATGTAAGGGAGTGTCTGCAAGTGCGTTTGGTGAAATCCTAAAGGTCATTTAGGCCTGCAGCCTCTAAACCTCACTGTGTGGTTCACCAGAAACAGCTCACCGGGCTCGGAGATGAGCCTGTGTGAGATTGTGGAAAGAAAATGCGCACAAGGTTTTTCTAACAAAACAGATCGGCTCACTTTAGTGCAGGAATGTAATTTGCTGGCAGGCATTACAATCTGTGATACACATGTTTAAATTCATGTGAAAATGCCAAAATCATGCAACGTTTACCTCACATAAAATGACCATTTGCTTTGGGAAATACATGAATTAAGACACTTACCTAAAAGTGATCCGGTTTATCCTCACATGCACATATTTTTAAAAGATGGCGCTTCTCATCTAAGTTATTGTAAAACTATCTTTATTAATAACCTCTGCCTCAGACTGCTGCCTCCCCCTGCATTCTGCTGTTAAATAAAACAAATTAATATGCAAATTGCCAGCTCCCCCATCTGGAAAACTGCCCCCTGTGTGTGTGTGTGTGTGTGTGTGTGTGTGTGTGTGTGTGTGTGTGTGTGTGTGTGTGTGTGTGTGTGTGTGTGTGTGTGTGTGTGTGTGTGTGTGTGTGTGTGTGTGTGTGTGTGTGTGTTGTGTGTGTGTGTGTGTGTGTGTGTGTGTGTGTGTGTGTGTGTGTGTGTGAGGAACTGGGACTTTATTGCATTTAGGAATAATCAAACTCTTTTGATACTCATGTACTTTATTGATTTACTGATACTGACTCAGAACATTTGTCAAATTGGACATTGCCTGGTGATAAATGGATTATGTAACGCCGTGATGACTATCAGGCGTTTGTCCTTGTGACCGTCTGAAAGCCTTAATAAACATATTTTATAAAAGGTCAAATAACATAACTATAAAAGTGTTTTTTTTGACAGTGTAAGAGCTTTGTTTAGCAGTAAAAGCTTTTATATTTTAACTATATGCCCAGTGAAAACCTGCTGCTTTTGGGTTATCATTACTATAAGTTATAATCCTTTAGGTTAAAACATATTAGCACAAACGCAACATGTGTATGTGAAACATGCTCGATACGTAGGTAATAAATAGATGATTTTATGGCATGCAATAATGTAAATAAGCAAGAAAATAAGTGCACATATTTCATGAAATCAGTGTGTAAAAAAAGTTTAAAACCTTTTTCCTCTATTATTTCTCGATAGGTTGGGGACTACATTATGTGTGTGATGCCTTTGTATATTCAAATGACCGATAACAAAAACGTGTGTGTGTGTGTGTGTGTGTGTGTGTGTGTGTGTGTGTGTGTGTGTGTGTGTGTGTGTGTGTGTGTGTGTGTGTGTGTGTGTGTGTGTGTGTGAGTGTGTGTGAGTGAGTGTGTTACATAATTTCAGCTACATTGTACAAAATATAATAATAATTATGTAATATTTTATTTTAATGTTTAATATAATAATGTTGTTATTTAAAAACGTTACGCACCTGCACATGACGTCATTGACTGGAAGGTGGTCAAAAAAAGTGTTCAGGAGTTAAACTAAGCTAAATGGAGTTCAAACTGCTGCTGCTGCTGCTGTTTGGGACGACGCTGTGTTTAGATGATCCAACTTTACCAAAGGACAGTGAGTACAGCCAGGATCAGGAGAGGGAAATGTGGAAGTAACTATACAAAAATATATTTTAAAGAATAACATGTCACTTTTTGATGAAAACAAATCAGCTCCTTCTGAAAGGGCGACCATTAGAAGAGCCAACAGTTAGCTATTCTAAACACTCCAATAATACTCAATTAGATGTCTCTTGTTAGACAAATGGCTATAAAGTCAAAATGTGAAGTTGACCATAAAAGGATCCATAAACTAACATTTACAAACTTGAAAAGTTGATTTTCTTCTACCTGAGAAGGTAATATTTACATCAACAGTATGTAGCTTACTTTTGGTAAAATAGTTAACATAATATTGAAAGCTACTAAAAACATTTGTGATTCATAACACTCACTTACGCTCAGTTTTTTTGAGGCAGGAGTTTTGCTTTTACGGCCATGCTTGCTGTTAACAAACGTAACGTAGAAAAACCCATTGTTGTGTAGGTTAAGATTAGTGGGTAATTTTGCTATCTTTATGACTGTATTTGTACTATCATCACGCTTCATTTTAGCATATATCGTTGCAGCTTGGGTAGGACAGCAATAGTTAGCTACTTTTTAAATGATGCAACAGAAAACTCCAGCTAAATGGTGCCAACTGTCTTCCAAAAAAAGTAACGTTATCTAGCAATACTAACTCCAAAAGTTACTAAATCCGACGAGAAAGGCGGTACGTTTGCAACATTGACAGCCCTCTAAGGACACTTCAAAAAGTATAATTATGAACGTGAAATTATCGTAGAAAATGTAAACAACGAGATGGATATTTTAGTGGGCTACACAGCTGTCAAGCTAGCAGCGCGTGCAAGACTCCGGTGACGCGCAACCAGTGCACGAGCAGAGTGCGCGCAGTTATACATGTAGATAGTCCTGTGACAGGTAACAGATGTTTGTCATTGTCAGAGTCATTTAATGACTGTTCTTGCAATGTAAACAGTATATCAACAAATATAACACATCTTCCACCCTAGCTGTAACCTAGGTGGAACCTATATGCTGCAGGTGTCCCTTGAAAAAGAGATCTATGATCTCAATGGGACCAATCTGGTTAAATAAAGGTTTGAAATGAAATGAGTAACCAAAAACTATAGCACAAAAGGTAAACATTGTACGAAAGAGAGGTTTGTTGTTTTCCTGCTGGTGATCCTATAGTAGTGGATCACAACAATACAACTTCCCACCCTCTGAGTTGCCTTGACATTGTTTTTTGTGTCATACCAACAGTTTATAAAGTCATATTATATATTTAAAAAAAGTATAATTTGAGAGTCTAAACCCCAAGAAATCTAATTTTGCTTGATAAATCATTTAAATGGGTTCTTATTATCAATATACTTTAGTTGTGGACTGATTTTCAGTTTTTTGGCTAATTGTATCAGAACCATTAGCAAGTGTGTAATATCATAAATTACATGTAAACTTTGTGTGTTTTTCAGGCTGTGGGCAGCGGCCCCTGGTCAGCCCCCCTGGTGAGTCTCGTATAGTGGGGGGCTGGGAGGCTCTTGAAGGGGCTTGGCCCTGGCAGGTCAGCATCCAGATCAGGTCCAGGCATCACTGCGGCGGGACCATCATCAGCAGACTCTTGGTGCTCACTGCAGCACACTGCTTCAAGAGGTACCTGTGAGTATAACTGACACACCTCACTGAGCTGCACTCACATGTACATAACTCACTCTGCATGTGTGCCCATGGATTACACAACATAATGTAAACACACTGGACACTTTGAGTCTGAAGTGAATTCATAACGAGGAATTCACAGTTTTTGGGCGTCTGACTCAAAAAGTTCGATCAGGTACCGTTGACCAAAAAGGAGGTCTATTCAATAAAATAAGATTATATATATTTTTTTTAATTTAATGATGTCCGGGACCCAACAATGTTATATGTGACTCAACATTTTTTTTTAAAGAGGCCACATCATCTGTGACCAAGGTGTATGTGCACAGCTTTTGAGAATATATTCTATTTAATATGTGGAAAAAATAAGAAGCCAAACACCAACACATCTACAAATAGCAATGGTCAGAAGTTAAAACCAAACATACATCATACATATAGAGTGTAGTGCACACAATGTACACAATATCAGTTTTTTTTTACTGCACATATTTTTATTCCATTCTATTTCTATATAAATACTACTATATTTTTTATTATTTTTATTATTTTATTATGTTATTATAGTTTTCTTAAAATTGTTCTCTGTCTGTGTTTTTAATTTTTGTTTTACTTTTATGTATGCACCATGACATCAAGTTCCTTGTTCCTCGTGCGTGTCAAAGTACCTGGTAATAAACCTGTTTCTGATTCTGATTCAGTATTTACCATCAGGGTGTCCTGAATGCAACCAAAGGTCCGTATGAGCAGGGGTCTATAGATGTCACTATTTAGCTTTCTTTATTTGCGCTTCATCAATACAGGTTTTATAGGTTGTGAAGAAGCAATACTAAGTTTGTGTTCAATGTTATGCTAGCCGGTTAGAAGATGGTTTCCAAATCCCAAAGTACACAAAACTAACAGCACAGTTACAGTTTTGGGGCTCTTGGAAATAGTGGCCCATACATTCATCCTTGATTAGAGTTTGAGAAATGCTGCTATGATTTGGCCTAGTTTGACCCACCTCTGAGTTGTTGTGATTTATTTACTTTTGTGTAAGTGTGTATGCAAGTATATCCATATAGGAATGTCCAATAAGATCTTTTAAACATAGATTACAAATATCAGTTGTATTTCATCGCCTTGTAAATCCAACACCAACAAAAACAGACAGTATGTATGTAGAATGGGAGAGTAAACAGCTGTCTCTGTTTGTAAAGGGAAAAGCATCATCAGCATCATGAACATTAAAATGTTTCAAATGACATGTATTGCTGTCTCTGTTCTGTGTCCAGAAGGGTCCGCAGAAGTTATTTCAGTGTGGTGGCCGGACTTAATGTGTTATCTGCTCCAGGAGATGGAACCCAGATCCGCTCCATCAGGGAAGTGAGAATACACAAGGACTACAACAACGTCACGGCTGACAATGATGTGACTCTCCTGCTGCTCAGCGCTCCCTTCAACTTCACCGACCACGTCCAGCCGGTCTGCACCCCTCTATACGACGCTCAGGAGTCATTCCTCAACTTCAGCCACTGCTTCATCAGCGGATGGGGGAGCCCCTATTTCAAAGGTTGGTTTAAAAACTCAATTTTTTATTTTAAAGGGTATGATGATGATCCTGAATCATTGCAAAAGGATTTGTTTTTTACTCACCTCTACAGTCTTAACAGACGGATCATAACCGATATAATATTTTTTAATTTTGTAGACCTAGCTGACACTAAACATCACTTTATCAGACTGTATTCCAATTCCTCTGAAGCCACACCATACATGCAGTAGCACTCCCCAAAAGACCTGGTTCAAGATTAGCACGAGTACAAATGTGTAAAAGTAACCATAATTACAAGATCTAATTAAAGTAACCTGTGATGACAGCAGGCATATGTCATTTTTTTATTCAAGGCTGTATTTCCAGTTGTTTGGATGTTTTGTGAATCAGTAACTTGTGTAACATTGAATGTAACATTCAAAAGTATACCATAACCATTGCATGTCTTAATGACATGTTGCTCAGACAGAGTGGGGGGCCTTCTACATGTGCCCAGGGGCAAATAATGTGTCATCATCCGTCTGTGGTGTTAATGACTGCAGGCAGGCTGATGAACAGATTGCAGGAAGTGGAGGTGGAGCTCATTGACAGGAGGACATGTAACAGGATCAGCTGGTACAGCGGCTTCATCACTGAAAACATGATCTGCGCTGGACTGGAGAGCGGGGCGGCTGATACCTGCCAGGTGATTATTCTTTGAAACATTTCCAAAACTTCCTTCAGGTTTAATGTCAGTAAGACATGACTGCTCTCTCTGTGTGCCTCAGGGGGACAGCGGGGGGCCGCTGCAGTGCTACAGTGAGGACGAGGACAAGTTCTATGTGGTCGGAGTGACGAGCTTCGGTCACGAGTGTGGACGTCCTCACAAGCCGGGGGTGTACGCCAGGACCAGCAGGTTTGCAGATTGGATTCAGGATCAGACAGAATCAGCTGCACACAGACTGAACATGAGACTGATCCCAGAGCTGCTCAGTGTCGCTCTGATGCTGCTCCACACTGTCTGACAGCAATAAACATCACTGCTTTACATCAGACTGTTCACATTTTGAACATGAGACGTTTCTCTGACTCGTGACATCTTTTACTTTACAATCATTACGAGTTAGCATGACCAGCCTGTTTATTCTGCACAAGCTTTCTCAATTGCCTTGAACACAACATTTCTTAATCAACCTCTTACTCAAGTGGCAACTGTGTTCTGTGACAAATATGTTTTCTTGTTTCACGAGAGATTATGATGTAACTGTGTGTTTTATGTATTTATTTACGTTGTTTATTTATTGGATGATTTTTATTGGCTTTGCTGACTACTGTTTTGAAAACCAAATGCCCCTCTGGACCAACAGTTATCCAATAATTTGTAAAACACATTTTAAAAATAAAATATAATAAAATATTACATTAAATTGCATAAAAAGTTAAATAGGGGATGAGTAAGAAAAACATAATGAGAACAGGGCTTTCCATATATATCAATAACTGATTAGGTTGAATGCGAGAATTAAGAAATCGGGTCAATTAAGGTTTGAAATTAACACTTTAATGTTTAAGTGGCAATATTTGTGGTAATGTGATTCAAAAAGTCAGTTAGTTCAGCTTTCAAATTAACATGAATTTATATATGTATGTGTAGTTTAATACATTACACTTCCTAATAAGGCCTTCTTCAAAAAGGATTTGAGGGTTCATAAGCCTTTAAGCAGAAGTCAGCTATAAGCCATTCATATGAAAACAACCTTATTCTAACATGCAAGTCTGTACTGTTAAATCTCTCTGGCTGCTGTTTATCTTTCTTATTAAGCTGGACCGTCTATTTACATTTACAGTTGCAAGAAAAAGTATGTGAACCTTTTGGATTCTCCACACATAGCGTTGTGTGTTCCTTCCAAACAACTCAACTTTGGTTTCATCTGTCCACAGAATATTTTGCCAGTAGTGCTGTGGAACATCCAGGTGCTCTTTTGCAAACTTCAAACGTGCAGCAATGTTTTTTCTGGACAGCAGTGGCTTCCTCCGTGGTGTCCTCCCATGAACTCCATTCTTGTTCAGTGTTTTACGTATCGTAGATTCGTCAACAGAGATGTTAGCATGTGCCAGAGATTTCTTTAAGTCTCTAGTTGACACTCTAGGATTCTTCTTCACCTCATTGAGCATTCTGCGCTGTGCTCTTGCAGTCATCTTTACAGCACGGCCACTCCTAGGGAGAGTAGCAACAGTGCTGAACTTTCTCCATTTATAGACAATGTGTCTTGATTGATTGATTGATTGATTGAAAAGTTTATTAACAGCTTGTATATTGGGTACAGTACAGTACAGCTCAAAACATACAATTGTTAAGGGGATGCAGACCAGAGAAAGACTTTCGTCTTGTTTACATCAGGGTCCCCCATTTCCAATTCATCATGTCATTTAAGACATGACATATTTGACATACAGATGGCTTATTTACAATTTACATACAGGTGGTTTTTTTACATACAGATTGCTTGTTTACAATTTTCATTTTAGATTTCGTTCTAATACATCCTAACCGGACATTTAAGACATACCAAGTCTACAGATATACAGTTAGTAACAGAGTCTAAAATGCGAGTATATACATAGATGGGGGGGGGGGGGAAGCTGTCCATTGAACGACAGGTTGAGATTTGTACCATTACCGGGGCCAGTTTTGCAATGATCTCCCCCGAAGGTGCTCTTTAAGAGAGGTTTTGAAGGTAAGTATAGTTTTACTTTCCTTTACAGTTGTGGGAAGAGCGTTCCACCTTGATGTGGCATAATTGCGAAACGTGTATTCCCCCTTTTTTGTGCCAAATCTGGGTTTCACATGATTTGTGGAGCTCCCTCTGGTGTTATGATCATGGTATTCCTTGACCTTTGGGAAGAATTTTGACATGTACATGGGTACCATAGAGGTGTAGTGGATCTTGTAGACCAGGCCCATTGCAAGTAGCTGTACTCTGTCGTCTACTCTAAGCCATCCTAGGTTGTCAAAGTGGGCAGAGGTGAGGTGGGTTCTAGATGAAAGGTCAAGCAGTAGTCTGACCAGTTTATTTTGCGATGTTTGAAGTTTTATTTTTAGCGCCTTGGAGGTGCTATGGTACCATGACGTGCAAGCATAGTCATAGTACCCTTGAATGAGTGCTCCTGCCAGAGTTTTCAGGGTGTTTTTGTTTACCAGAGAGGAGATCCGGTATAGGAATCTAGTTCTTTGATTGACTTTTTTTATTACATTGGATGCCATTTTGTCACAGGAGAGGTTTGCCTCAAGAATAGATCCTAGGTATGTAATTTCCTTCTTACTTGTGACAATAATGTCGCCCACTGCAACTGAGAAGTCGTCGGATTTGCTGAGATTATGTTTCGAACCGAAGAGAATGGACTCTGTTTTACCCAGGTGTAATGATAATTTATTATCGGCGAGCCAGGTGCAGATTCTGCCGAGCTCGGAGCTGAGGGTTTTTTTCAACCTGCAATCTGCTCCTGTCAGAGACCAGCAGGGCTGAGTCGTCCGCGAACAGGAACAAGTTGCAGTCACATGCTGATGACATGTCATTTACATAAATTAGGAACAGTAACGGACCTAATATGCTTCCTTGTGGAACACCACAGCTCACTGGGAGGGGGGGGGGGGGACAGAGTACCGTTTACCTCCACCATCTGTTCTCTCCCCTCCAGGTAGGATTGCATCCAGCTCACCGATAGTTTATCAAAACCAATTGCTTTTAGCTTGTCAATCAGAATGGGGTGATTGACAGTGTTGAAGGCCTTTTGTAGGTCCAGCATCACCATGCCGCAGTACTTGCCCTCGTCCACCTCTTGTTTGATGTGGTCGCTCAAATAAAGAAGGCATGTGTCAGTGGAGTGGGATGTTCTAAAGCCAGATTGAAATTCATAGATTAGTTTCTTTTCCGCGAGGTACTTTTCGACCTGTTCATATACTATTTTTTCCCTGACTTTCGAGATGGAGGTAAGTATAGAAACAGGGCGGTAGTTGCCTGGGTCCAATTTGCTGCCCTTTTTGTGCAGGGGGGTTACTCTTGCAATTTTGAAGTCTTTGGGTACTTTCCCCTGTTTTATGGAGAGGTTAATTATGTGAGCTATGACTGGTGAGATGGCGGTTGCTGTGTCTCTGAGGAATTTGGAGGGGATATTGTCGTGGCCAGTGGCCTTGTTAGGTTGGAGGGCGCTCAGTTTAATGAGTACCTCTGCTGTTGTTACCCTTGCTAGACTGAAATCATCTTTGCGTACCCCTAGGTTTTTGTAGTAGGTCATGATGTGATCTACTCCAAAAAGCCCTGAGTGGGAGGGTAATTTATTTACAAGAGTTGTGGCTATGTTTGTGAAAAAAATGTTCAAGTACTTGGCCACATCCAGTTTGTCTGTGATGAGCCTGTTATCTGTCTTTATGTTTAAGTTAGAAAATCTCGTTTTGAGTTTTTACTGCAGCCAAGCTGGTTATTGAGTAATTTCCAAAGTTCACGGGGTTTATTTTTGTTTTCCTCAGTTTTGACATTGATGAAATTCTTTTTGGCAGTTTTGATCATGGAGCTTACGTCATTTCTTAGTCTGTTTCTTTCAATTTTGAGTTCAGTCACGTGGGCCTGGAGTTCACTGCTCGTGCTTTTGGAAAGCATTGACTGACTTTTATGAAACTCAGAGCACTTTTTGTCTCTGGTTTTCATGGCGGTCAGTATGCCGGAGTGCATCCACGGCTCAGCGCGATTTTTTACCGTGGACTGATGAACATCAAGGCTTTTAGAGATACTTTTGTAACCCTTTCCAGCTTTATGCAAGTCAACAATTCTTAATCGTAGGTCTTCTGAGAGCTCTTTTGTGCGAGGCATGGTTCACATCTGGCAATGCTTCTTAAGAATAGCACATTCAAAACTGGTGTGTTTTTTTATAGGGCAGGGCAGCTTTAACCAACACCTCCAATCTCGTCTCATTGATTGGACTCCAGGTTGGCTGACTCCTGACTCCAATTAGCTCTTGAAGAAGTCTTTAGCCTAGGGGTTCACCCTGCACTGTGAATGTTCACATGGTGTGTTCATAAAAACATGGAAACATATTGTTTGTGTGGTATTAGTTTAAGCAGACTGTGTGTGTCTATTGTTGTGACTTAGATGAAGATCAGAACACATTTTATGACCAACTTATGCAGACATCCAGGTCATTCCAAAGGGTTCACTTTTTCTTGCAACTGTACAACAGCAGCCTGCATGGCATATCAGAAAGTGAGCAATTAGCCTGCCCCCTGGTGGAAGGAAGATGCTATTTCACTTTAATACAGCAGCTGCTTCGTGAAACTTCCAGAAGATGTGAAAAAGAAGAAAGCACCAGAAAGTTCTGACAAAGGATTTTTTTTATTTGACATGAAACACATCCAATGACAGTGTGACAGTGTTTTTTGTCAAGTAAGACATGTTGTTAGAAGTTATCGCACCATTGACTAGTTGAGAATGTCTCTGCTGCAGCTCGACGATGCATAGTGAACAGACAGTCGCTGAGGTATACATTGTGGGCCCTTGAGTTTTCTTTTGTGTGAAAGATTCTAATTTCATTACCTCACATGTACATTTGTGCTTAGAATAACTTTGGAGGTTTGAAATGAAACGCTATTCTTCACAACACGACACCTTGAAAACTGAAATAAATATTAAAATGGAAACGGTGGATATGTCAGGTTGCATTGTTCGTGTTGAGTTGTTGCCTGTTGAGAACATTTTCATCAGATCTCAACGAAAACTGGTGATGATGAACAATAGAGTGAGATGTTGGCATGGAAAAAGAATGACTGATTTTCACACATAAAGGGCATCCAGGAAGAGACCTTGTTTGTTACGACATTGGAGGACAGAAGCCTGTCAACCTTCCCTTATTGAATAGCACCAATGTCTATTGAAAAGGCTTGAAGGCCAACATGACATTATAAAACTTTATTAAAACTTGTCGGAGTTAAACAGTAGCAACAAAGCAATTTTCACACAGCAGCTCAGAAGCTTCACTTTGTTATTTATGAGTTATTCTAACGTGCCACACATACAAGTCCTCAGTGTCCGTCACTGAATGAAAAGTGGTTCATGTTTTGTGCTGAATGCCAAGCTGCTTCAAAATCAAACCAGCTGTTTGCAGAAGATGTGCCGTTTTAAAGTATTAGAGAGAGTAAAAAATAAAAAATCAGTAAAATATTGAAGAAACTGCTAAAAACTATATCCGATTCCAATCTTGATTGGAAAGAAAAACAATACAGTGGTGGCGACGTAAAAGAAAAGAAAAAGGAAATGTTCAATATTCTTGTTACAAAAAACAAAACTTGTTGCACCAGATAAGCCAAATATCACTGAGTAAGCCGGAAACACACACACACACACATTCTCTCATGCACGCACACACACATTCAAATGATAATGGGAAAGTGCACATTGTTCCTGCCAAAGTAATCTGAAACCTTTTCTTCTCTTGCAATGTGAAACCTTTAAATTAACAATGCAGAAAAATGCTGTCAAGTATGAAAGATCAGTCAAGTATTTTCGACAACGTTCATATCCATGTACACATTAACACCAGTAATATTTGACCTCTAAAATACAGTATACAGACAACATCCTTACCCTCATTTATTGCCTCCATTTGGAATTTTTTTTATAAAGGAGGGTTCTGCCATTTTTTTCTTTTTTTAAATCACGGTTTGCTTACTGATTGTTGTTCATTCCTAATTCGTTTTGTTCAGTGTTACAGACATTCAGAATTGGTTTCAATGATCATGATATGAAATGAGAAAGGCATGACCGCAAACGTCTTAGCAAAAAGAACAAGAAACCGCCCCTCCCCCTTCCTCTAAAAAGAAAAATGATATGAGTTATAAACTGCCATCAGATTCCACATGTGAAAAAGTTGGAATAGTCCTTTAAATACACTAATAGCACTGCTAGAAATGAGGGATTCAACATAAAAAAGTACTGAAGTTCCACAGGTTTAGTAAGGCAAAGTTCTGATATTTTCTTTTTTAGACTGTTTGTAATCATACTGTGAATATCACCATGGTGCAGTAAAAGGCACTGACTTGCCTTCTGAAGATCTACATGAGTGTAACCGGCTGTAACGCTAACATGTGGTGAAGGATGCTCCTTGCTCTATCATGGGAAACTACACACCGACTGCAAGCTAGCGGCTCTATTATGGCCCGCAAACTGCTGTTATCCTGTTGACCGGAAGAAAATCTCTACTTAAGGTCCACTTTGTTCTGGAGCTTTCTATTATATTACACTCTAATGAGGACTGACCAACAGAGTCCACAGCTAACAGTTGTTTTGTTAACCTGCATGTTAACATTGATTGCATTTCAAATAAGCATGCACACTTAAGCTCTTCTTTAGAAAAGTGTTGCTTTAAAAAAAAATGCATAAGCACTTCACAATCATCAGAACTATCGAACGGACCGACTTGCACCAAAAGTGAATCCTTTTGTTTTCTGCCCGTCGAAGATTGCCCCTAATATCGAGGTTTGTACGTCTAAGAAGAACGTCTTTCTTTTCCCACACCAACAAACAATTCAAGTGTATTTTTTTAGGACATTTTGTAACGTGTGAATGCCGGCAGCATGTCTGCTAAAAAACCCAGTATGTGATGGGCGGTGAGAGCCACGGGGCATCTGGTGGTACTTTTTAATACTGATGCGGATTTGCTCTCATGAAAGCAGAAAACATGGGGGGGAGGTGTCTCTTGAGGCAGGTGAGACAGGAAGTGGACTCAGAGGCGCGAGGACTTAAAGTGCAAGAGGGGGAAAGTTCCAGCTCCTCTCAGCAGTTCCTGCCCTCAAGAATCGAGGGGTTAAAAAAAACAAGAGAAGCACACGATGATAAATGGATCAGGATAAAAACCAAGGAATGGAAGGAGGGGAGGATTTGCCTCTTGGATGAAAGCGTGTAATTAAAATGTCTTTAAAAAACATGATTTTGCGTGAAGTGGGATGAAGATCAATTTCAGTTTCTGAGAGGGAAGCACGTTCTGCTGACAGTACTCGAGCTGTATTTGCATTCCCACATTGTTTGGTGTTTTGAATGTGTGTGTGAGCTTTAAAATGGGGGCTGCTACTGAACGCACCCCCCCAGTCCTCCTCCCTCACGTCTGTTCTCAGAGCCCGGCTCAGTTTTTCTACATTTCCATCGGTTGGTGAATCACATGTTGTAGGCCACGTAGATAGGGTCCAGTTGGTCGGCCAGGAAGGAGTCTCGCAGGTGCATCCTCTGCTTCTCCCCCCTGGAGTTGATGGGGATCACCCCGGGGTCCACGATGACCACCACACCCACGATGAGGTGGTGCTCCTCCAGGACCACGTTGGTGACCAGGGGCACCAGGTCCAAGGCCTCCTGCTCCGAGCCGCTCAGCTCCGCCACCACCACCAGCAGGTTGGTCCACGTAAACACAGCGCTGAGGGGAGAGGGGTCATGTGATCTCTGTTAGTGTGTGAACTACAGGCTATCGCACAGCGGTGTGTAAGAAATATTATAGATACAAAATCTAATAAAAACAATGTTGTGAGAAGAGGGTATTATCAGAAGAGAAAATATATATTTTCTAAGATTCAAGTCATACATTTACGATACAAACCTTTTGATATTTTCTGAGATAGAAAGAGTTAATGGGAATTATCTCTTAAATAAGGAAATACAGAACATGTATTGCATCTGTCGATTCTTTTGAGAGTCCTAATTTACAAAAGCTATCACATCATTGGAAATTCAAATGTGTTTTTTTTTCTAAATAGGTATGAAAAGCTCCTTGAGTGCTGATGTTAATATGGGGATTTGGGGCAAAGATCACAAGTATTTTCTTATTGCTAAATCCTAATTTATACTTCATTTACCACTTTAATCTTAAAGTATATCAACGTTTTTATTAAATATTACATCATCCTCCGGCTTCGTGCTTTTATTTTTACACCTACAATGGCCCAATTGTGTCATTGTTATGCTGTCTTTCTTTGTGAGATGTAAAGAACAAATATATCATTCTAAATATATCTCCAATAAAGAGCCTCACCTTTCTGCGATGCAGCGGTGGGCTCGTGAGACAGACGTCTCGATGTCGATCGGGTGATAGCGCAGCCCCCTCAACTCCAGCGTTTCATCAAGAGAGCCCACCACGAACAAGGCATCATGACGATCTGCAGCAGAGAAGAGTTTCAGAAGCTTTGCAACAAAAGGATATGTTGATATCGTGATAGGCAAAAAGGCAGTGAATGAGGTCAGCTGTTTGTAAATGTCCTCTCACCTCCGCTGGCGTCCAGCAGCTCCGTCCTCTTGATGAAGCCCAGGTACCCCGTCCTGGCCCACAGGGTGTGGGGCTCCCCGAAGGTGAGTTTGGTGTTGAAGTGATCCGCCTGCAGGCTCTCCTCCCCGTAGATGGTGTAGTAGCCACTGGCACTGTGAGTGCTGCTCACCCAGATCTGACACACAAAAGGTGAATGACGTCATTTTTAACAATAATGAGAAATAAAAAAGGGCTTAATTTCATTATGAATAATCTTACAATCAAGTTTCAGACAAATCAATCATTTGGTTTATAAACTGTCATCAAATTGTGAAAATGTCGATCCGAGATCCGTAAAGTCCAAAGGGAAGTCTGTAAGTGTCTTGTTTTGTCCGCTCAAAACAAAGATATTCACTTGAATGTGTTATAAAACAGAGAATCTCAATATTTGAGAGGCTAGAAAACAGCATAGTGCCTTTGTTTAGTATGATCAATTATGTTAACGATGAATCAATGAACGTAATAGATGCAGATTATCATTGCAGCTCCAATTCAAATGAATGATTCTGTTGAAATAGCTTTGCTCACTTAGCTCTGTGTGGGTGGAACCACTTTGTTGCAGAATCATAAGAGGAATATTAAAACAAAGGTGAAATGGCGTAAACATCAGCATCCCATGATCCTCTCTGTTCACTCACCTCTCCGAGATGTGAATCTCCCAGCGGGCCTCTGGTCTCCGGGTTCACTATGATGACCCTCACTCCTGGAAGCATCTAAGAGGAAACACAAAGTGGGACTTTAGCTTCACAGATAAAACCAGCTCCTCTACTTCCTGTGGGTCTGTGGCCAGTGAGAGCCTCACACTCATCAGGGTTTTAACAACAATCAATACTTACAGTGCCTGACTCCATGAGAGGAAGACTCTGTGGCGCTCCTCGCTCCACCAGCCTCACCCTGAGTGACACAAACAAAAGATGGACCTGTCAATCATTCTGTTTGATCTGAACAACAAGCAATGTTTGTTTTCACCAGAGGATCATGGGACAGTTAGGGGTTTCCAGTCTTACCTGTCGTGGCGCAGAGACTTCATGTCCACATACACGGTGGAGGGGTCTGGTCCAGCAGTGCCCTGAGGATGCAGAGAGGAAAATAAATACTCTAACATCAAAGAAATCCATCTGAACATGAAGCCTTTTGGCCCGTTTAAGTGAAAATGTAACACATTTGAATGGAGGGTAAACAGTGAATGACTTAAATTGTTCAAGATGAAACACTACAACACAAAAATGAGTTTAACTAGGGAAAATGTATACGTATAACAACAATTCAGTGTGTGTCCGTGTGACTCCAACCTGCAGGCAGATGGCGAGGTTGACCCTGGAGCCGAAGGCGGTGCTGACGGCGCGCGGCGACAGGCCGAGATCTTTGAAGAGCTTGGAGAAGGACTGCGTGAGAGCAAGGCGAGGACGCTCCTCTGCGATCACCACACAGCTCCGCACGCACGACAGATTCAGACCCCGCGCCTGGAGACACACAGGAAGAGGTTATCACACTTTGAACAGCAAAGTGAAGACTGAGCCTGGCACCAACATGAACTCAGCATTAGTGGACGTTTTAATCCAAAGTGCTTTTAGATATTGAGCGACACTGAACCACAATAACCAGATTTATGACTCTAAGGAAAATAGATGTTAACTTACAGATCATTTAATAGGTAAGCAATATATATGGTTTAGTTTGAATGGTCTGAAAGTTTTGACAATGTAGTAGAATTTACTCATACTAACTAATAGGCTTAAAAAGGGCCTATATATTGTTTTTTATTGATTAAATCAGACAGGTGTTAATTGGTTGCCTTGAGAGCAGATATGATCGTCTGCAACCAATTTGTAACAGTGTTGTTATTGTTAGAGTAGAGACAGGGTGGGGTACCACATCATTGGGTGTGTATGTGTGTGATTCTGACCTTCAGCATCTCTGTCTGCGTGCCCAGGCCTTTGGTGCAGAGCTCCATGACGGAGTAGGAGCAGAACGTGTCTCTGATCTTGTACTGACTCAGCGTGCTCAGCCACAGAGGCAGCGAGCTCTCCAGCTCCAGGGGGGGGATAAGGATGGACTGGTGACCTGAGTAAACACTGGGCAAAAAACACACACTCGCTACAGCAACAACTTTTACAGGAACAGCATGTTATATAGAATATGATATTCAGCGTGTGTGTGTGTGTGTGTGTGTTACCTGGAGAGGCACCACAGGACGAAGCCCAGGCCACAGTACGGGTCGAGGCAGATGGCTATTTGGCGTGAGGAGTAGAGCTCACACTGCAGCTTGATGGAGCGACACAGAGTGCTGACTGCAGCGTGAGACATCTGACAGGAAATAGACATGAACCATTAAAAAAATGCTCTATGCTGTTAACAAAAACGACAAAGTAGGAGCAAATCAATTGATTTGTCCCTTCATGTCATCATATATAAATATGAATATATATATAAAATCATTTTTTTTGAGGGCATACAAATCTAATCAATTCAAAAAATGTTATATCAATGCAAATGACTGTTAATGAATAAGTAGATCCCGCTACCCATTGAGCGATAGAAATAATGACAATAAATATTAATTAGAAAATATTGTGTTAGATAAACAGTAGTAATCATAAAGAGAACAATACTGATACTAAAAAAAGGAAATATAAAAAATAAATTAAAGAATGAAAATGTAATAAATAAAATACAAAATATACTGTTATACATCAACGCTGTGAGTATTTTACCTTGACTCCAGTCAACATGCCTGTGGTGGACACACTGAAGTCCAGGTAGGCCAGCATCTCGGCTGTGGGGGGTTTATAAATGTGTGGAGGCCGCTTTCTGGGGAGATCATCTGAGAGAAGAAGGAACATAATTGTAGTTATTTGTACTGTAACTGTTATTGTTTGCTATTGTGGAGCAAACAGGAAACCTTGTGGCCAAATGGAGAGCACTTTTCTCTCCATGCACTCCTAGAGTTGTATCCTTAGGGTAGTAAAGTTCACAATGCCTAATGCCTCTTAGCTGTTATCATTTGAACATATAGATCTCCAGCACCTGTATCGATGATAGTGGGCCACGTCTTGACGTTGACGCTGGCAGCAGCCTCCCTGGACCTGAGGATCCTCATGAGAGGCTGAGTGGTGAGGATGCAGGCTGCTTTGCTCACCTGTTGCACCAAACACACACACAAAGACGTTTCTTCATTGCTGCAACATGGACCTCTGGTATAAATCCTCCATTCAAGGAGATTACTCTATAATGCTCTGGTAATGTTTGATTGAAAAACATTGTGTTAAAATGTACGCTTTTAATTCGAAATATCAGTGGTGTACACTCACGTCGATGATCATGCGCACAGTGGGGAGGGTAGCAGCCAGGTTCTGTGGGTGAGGCGGCCTCACCGTCACAGGGATGACCCCCGCATAGAGGCAGCCGTAGAAGGCAGCTATCAGGTCAATACCTGCAGAAAGAAGAGACAGACAAGACATCTTTAGGTTTGAAAGTGGGCGGAAACATTTGGAATAATGCAAGTACATAACTCAGAAAAGTAATATAACAAAGGTATCTAGTTTTAAGACATTTTAAGGTGGAGATGTAACATATTTGGCCTTTTAATAAAAATACAAGGAGGTTGGCTGTCTACAATGCTGAGTGGTGTGTGTGTGTGTGTGTGTGTGTGTGTGTGTGTGTGTGTGTGTGTGTGTGTGTGTGTGTGTGTGTGTGTGTGTGTGTGTGTGTGTGTGTGTGTGTGTGCGTGCGTGCGTGCGTGCGTACCTGGGGGATAAAGCAGCACCACATTGTCTCCTGTGTTGAGGCCGCCTCTCTCCATTAGGGTAGCTGTTATTTTCTCTGCTCTCTTGTGCAGCTGAGCACAAGTGGCTGTGCACACCGCCACCCCCTACAGAGGAAAGAGAGGAAGTACAGCTAGCTTACACCCAACAACATGCAAATCCAATTCTACCAGTACAAAATAAAGAAAAGTATGCCCTGTATGTGTTACTATCGACTTCGAGTGTGTGTTTTATCTACCTTTGCATTGAGCAGCACATACAGGACATGGTCTGGGTCGGTTTGAGCCCTCCATTGCAGAGCATCAGACAGGAACTGGTGCTGGTAAAGAAAGAGTGTCATCACAAAAACATTAATGATGGATTGACTTCATTCATAAAATTGCACACTTAAAAGCTGCATCCATGGCAAATAATAACCCATTTAAAACATGGTTCAACAGATAGATACCAACAAAAGCTTGTCCACATATATCATCCAACCAACAGCCAAAAATAGAACGGCTCTCAGGGACAACAGATACATTTGCTCAACAGACTTTGAGAGGAGAAAACATATTCTGTGAGGATTTGAACCTCTCACACAGAGGGAAAAACAAGCGCACAACAGGAGCATTTCCTTTTTTCTGCCCGGTGCGGGGTCATGCTGAGACCATCTGCACCTGCAGCCACTAACAAGCTATGGGCCTTTTAAACACAGGGTTACACCAACTTTAAAAAGCATTTTTTTTTTTTAAAGTGTACTGTTTCTCAAGCAAAGTAACAATCCAGTCACTTTTTTTTTTTAAACAAACACTGATATTATAAGACCAAATAGTGTCAATAAACTGAGGAACTGGCCAGAGCACGGGATCAAACAAGACACGACGTGAAAGCAAAGAAAGGTCGTTAAGGCAGACGGCAAGTGACCATCAGGCAACATGTAAGGTAACAAATAAAGTTCACACATTGACTCACTGGACGAACAGATATAAGCGTCAGCGTTGTCATGTTTAAATCTCTGGCCAAAGTCATCCTTTGTGCCACTCTCTCTCTCTCTCTCTCTCAGTCAGACAACAGGTCAACACTGATCAGGAGTCACATCATGCAGACCGGCTGCCTGTCCATCAGGCTATGCTACACATGGGAGCATCACAGTGAACACTGCCAGCAGAGGTGCACACTGACAGTTTTATTTTAGGGGGTGATTAAAAGATATTTTAATTACATCATCTTTAAAGGTCACAAATGTTAAGAGACTGTTTATTGTTACCTCCTCAAAGTCTCCATTTTACTTTATCATTATGAAGTAGATGTTGATTGCCAGGTTGCCAGTTCTTCATAGACATGAGACAATGTACTTTTAGATGTGTTACTGCTGCCTATTTAACAATTAAAGTAGTCATTGCGTTTTTGTTTGCACTAAGTTTAGTCGCAGAGTGGAGAGACCTACTGCATATGGTGCAAGAGGAAAAGACTCTGGACACGATTACTTTGAGCATTATTGGGAATGAATTACGTTTGAATATATCTTGCTATTCCCCATGATGTTCGGAATAAGATGCTACATTTGTAGCTAGTGGTATGTTCTGAGGAAAACTGGAAGCGATGCTGTCGTCTATTACAGTGGAAACACCAATTGAAAATAATAGGGAAGAACATTTTAAAGATGTCTAATAACACCTCAACTTATTGATGAGCTTTTGGTTTGGGGGAACTAGTAGGCTGCTGGAAACTCTAGTTTAAAAGGTGATTGCAGAGGGTCTGTTTTATTCTGTATTTTACATGAGGTGTGTGGACCGCTGCTGGCTAAGGAACCAGCCTGGACAGTCTTATTTCTGCGTCGGGCAAAAGCTGCTGCTGGAGGCTGAGAGGCCGTCGAGGCTGCAAAGCACATCTGACCGACAGAAGCAGCAGAAGCAAAGACGGTTGGGGGGGAAGGCCAGAGCCTTACCATCATGACGGGCCACATACAGAGCTAAAGCCCAACCCAAGCAAAGTTAAAGGCAGAACAAGATAGATTTAGGATCAGACAGGAGAATCAATCCTCCCCTAAATGTGACAGGGTTTAACTTGGTTAACACATTCAGAGCCTTCACAGTTGATACATCAGTCCCATTAGAAAATAAGTGTGTTTCATATATTGTCTAAGGCTGAAATTTATAAATGCATACGCTGATGTTTTTCTTAGTTGATATTCAATTATGTTAAGACTAATACAAACACATACTAAGCTCTAATCTTATGTTATAAACATTGACTGAGCATAGCAACAGTATAAAGTCTTTAAGTATACATTTCTGTCTCATCATCCAGGTGTCAATGTTGGAGTCTTAGATATACAGTAGATTGATATAACTTGATGTAAACATGTCGGGAAATATAAACTGTTAAGTTGTACATTTATCCTGACCAAATCCATTATTAATCATCTGATAAATATTCAGGTGTCAGTGTGGTTAAAGTGTGGTTCTGGGTCTGTGTGGTGAACAGTACCTTTCGGATCAGGTCCTGGTCCTCCACCACGCCCAGCTCTCTGCCGGTTGCCTGGGCGATCCGCTTCCCTGCCACCAAGTTACCGACCAGCATGGAAGCCGGGCCGACGTCCACTGAACAGAGTCAATCAGAGTGTGTTAAGTAACGCTTCCAACACTAAATGAGTGTTTGTCTTACGTTCTGTATTACGCATCAGTGGCTGTGGTCTACGGCGGTCTACCTGGCTGTTTCTGCCGGGGCTTGGGCATGTTGGTCACGCAGGTGTGAGGGCACAGCAGGATGTTGCAGGGGTGCAGGTTTCCCTCCAGGAAGTTCTGCTTGGTTTCACAGATGTGGATGCCTCCGAGGGGCGTCTTTGGGAGGGTGTTGGCCGGGACGAGCGCCAGGCAGTACAGGCCCACCTGGTGGATGCTGTCGATGGCCTGGGAGAAAATGACATGTTCAATTTAATCAGCTGTTCATATTGACTTTGATTGTATGTTTTGATATTCGTTATTGCTTGCTCTACTTTGCTATATGCCTGGTGTAAGAGAAAACCAAATGTTTTCCAAACTTTAAAGACTTTGTTCAAACCCTTTTCCTTCCCTCAAAAAGCTGTACTCTAAATGTACCCATCATGACTTTGAAATACACATAACTAAAAGTATAAAAAGAAGAATCTGTCACTGAAAAAAGTTAAATCACATAAATACTATCATAAAAGATCATCTGAAAATATACTCTAGGGGACATGACAGATGTGATTTTACCTGCAGGACTCGACTCATCCACTGGAAGCTGTCTTCCTCACTAGCGTCCGGCCTCTGCTCTGCCACAATCACTATCCTCTCATCATAGAACACGGTCACAGAGAACACAGCGATCCTGCATGAATGGGAAAAAGAAATGAGCACTCGCACACATGGAGAGGCTGCAGAATATTAAAGAGATGAACCCGTTTGGGGGGTTATACAGGGTAGATATAGAAATGAGAATCCATGCACCCTGTAGAAATATAACAAACACACAGCGCACTGGCTCACAGAAGCGGTCAGTGTCTCACCTCCCCCTGTAAACAGTTTTGACCGGCTCCACTGCCAGCGCGGTGGCCACCAGGTCGTCGGCGTTGTGGCGTCGCCCGCTCACCATCAGCAGCCCCTCAAACTTCCCCACAACAAACACCAGACTGCCCTGTGGAGCAAACGGTTTCACTCAGTAAAGAACATTTTCAGTGAAATTATTATAAAGTATTATAGTGAAGTTGGATGTTTCTGCCTTACAGGTCCAACAAATCCAAGCAGACCGGTCCGAGTGAAAGGTATTTCTCCTATGGGTGCTCCGGCTTGGTTGACGGGGATCACCTGCAGATTTACAGAGGAATAATAAGTTGGAGTTCAGTGCACACACACACTAAATCCTCTTCATCATATGCATTGCAACCCTGTAAATAGCCTAGCATTACCCAGAGGAGATGTGTGTAATAATGTAAACGCCATTTGAACTTTACATCCTGTGTTTGAATAAAGCTGCTTTTCTTCCGCGTTTTGAAAACGATTCTGTTGTGGAGTAATTCTTCTTACTCAGACAGATCTCCTGTTATTTGCTACATGTGTGAAAGGATACTGCGGACAATGGGCAGAAGTGATTATCCTGGTATTGTGGCAAAGATCATATGAGAAAAACAGTTTACATCTCACCCTGGCATTATATTACAAATATATTCCAACATCATTGTGAAAGCAGGTAAATGTATAGTTGAGAGGTGGTTTGTTGCTTTTAAATATTTAAATAAATATAAAACTGGACAAGAACACACTTCAGGAGTACAGTATATGGGAATAAATGCAATGCAAGTTTCAAGATGACTGTGGCTCCATCTAGTGGATCATATTAACCTGTGATTCTTTCCCATCCATCCATTTCTAAACCAGCTTATTTCACTTATGCTTACTATCACACACTTAACAAGAGGAAGGGGACACCCCGTACAAGTAGCCAGGAAGTTAACTCTCAAGTGTTAACATGACTTTTTAAAGAGGTTATTTCTTGTCTCAGGCCAAAGGTTTATTTACAGCACGTCACTAGACCAGATGTGGAATGAGTCATTTAGGCAGTGTTTTAAACACTCATTGTAAACTTCGACGGACCTCGAATGTGTTCTTGGTGACCCCAGGCAGACCGTAGTACATGGTGCCTCCGGCCCGAGAGTTGATCACGATTTCTCCTATTTCATCTGTCTTGCACAGCTGAGGAGGTCCGTCCGGTTTCACAATGCACATCAGAGCTGAAACACACACACAAGTCACAAGATTACATATGTTTACCTGAAAGATAAAGGAAGAAGTAAGTGGTGCAGCTGCAGAGCCAATTAAAACCAACTCTAGTGGCTAACCTCCAGGCATGATGTGTCCCACATCCTGCACAGTGAGAGCCGAGTTCTTGTCCTCTGTGTTCACTCTGATCACCCCGTGGCTCAGCCCGCCCATGGACAGGATGGCCCTGGCTGGCAGCGGAGCGCCTCGCGCACCGGGCCTGCAGGGGAGACACAAAGAGAGGGGACGGTGTGAGGTAATCATAACAGCTCAGACAGCGAGGCAGCAGAAACACATTGTTGAGTTCCGATCAAGCACAAAACAAGCCTCAGCCTCAAGGTGAAGTGGTTTCATTGTTTATCTTGAACTATGCAGAAGTGAGGAATACCACATGCTTGGGTTTAGTTTGAGCTTTAAGTGAATGTACTCCTTGGCCTTCTTCCACCTCAGAAACATATCCAGACTCCGGCCATCACTCTCCGACTCTGTTGCAGAGAAGCTCATTCACTGTTTCATTAGCTCCCGCCTGGACTATTGCAACGGACTCCTGTCCGGGGTTCCCAGCAAAACCCTGGACAGGCTCCAGTACATCCAGAACTCAGCTGCCAGGGTTCTCACACGCACCAAGCCCTGGCAGCACATCACCCCCACTCTCTTCAACTTCCACTGGCTCCCGGTCAAGTCCCGCATCACCTACAAACTCCTCCTCGTCACCTACAAGTCCCTCCATACCCTCTCCCCTCAGTACCTCACAGATCTCCTCCACCCATACATCCCGTCCCGCACCCTTCGATCCTCAGACTCCGGCCTGCTCTCCATTCCCCATTCACGCCTCCGCACCTTCGGGGACCGTGCCTTCAGTGTCGCTTCTCCCACCCTCTGGAACTCCCTCCCTGCTGAAATCCGTAACGCCCCTTCTCTGAACATCTAAACATCAACCCTGAAAACTCATCTGTTCAACAAAGCCTTCTAACATTAACTCACTCTTCCCCCCTGCAATGTAACACTTCCATTTCCGCCCCTTGTTTCATGTCTTGTCCTTATATGTTTCTTTGTTAAGCGACCTTGGATTGTTGATGAAAGGCGCTATATCAATTAAAGTTGTTATTATTATAAAAAAATAATGTTACAATTCTTGAACTAGACATATTTTAACTAAGAAAAGTGCGTAATTTCAATATAAAACAAACACATTCGAAAATCACTAAATGTGCTTATTTAAAATAAATGTAAGTTCGTGGACAAAAGTAACTGTATTTCTTTAAAGGCAAAACTAGTTAGGCAGTCGCATTGAACTCCCTGTATCAGATGCGTTACCTGCGGATGGCCACCGTCAGGGCCTCAGGAGACGTGGCACATGGACAGATTGCCTCTGGCTTCAGACCATGAGACTGGAACACATTCAGGAAGGCGTCACACGACGACACGGACCCTGGTGACAAATAATGGGATAATAAAATGACCAAAACAGGATAGAAATAGTCATACATGTTGTTCATAACATAGTAGTTCTACATTACAAAGACACCATGGTTGAGACTCACATGGGTTCGCTCCATCAGCCACAATAAGCATACGTATGGAGGACAGGTTGGTGTCCCTCTGGTCCTTGTGGGCCATCATGGCCCAGTGGAGGTCACGGCATTTCACCAAGGCAATACGTGCTATCAGAGAGGAAGAGGTCATATATAGGGCACTTACAAGCTGTATTTGTTTTATTAATTATGTGCACATTTTGCATTACTGTTTCCATGGCTTTAGCTGCAAGTTTTCCAATTCTATTCAATTTAGTAGTCTTGTAGGTCATCTCCATGATTAGGTTTCTACTTTAACATCGGCCAAGGGGGTCACGTTTTTGTTTATGTCTATTTGTTTATTGGATTTCATATTTTGGAGTGGAACAAAGCAAAGAGCAGACACACATATTATTCTTTAGTTTCCTGCACAATTGGGGTTTTGACCTTGTTGTAGGTCTGTGCCAGTGCCAGTTTGAAGAAAGACCCTTCATCGGCAATATAAGATGTAAACTTTACAAATGTATAATAATATAAAAGAGACATTGGCTGAACCTTTGTGAAGGTGGACCCTCTGCACCCAGGACATGGGACATGCTTTCATGACAGCATATGGCACTGTGATGGTGTGGATTCTGTTCATGACACTCTGAAAAACAAATACATAGTGTCATTGTAACATTGTGCACAGTACAGACAGAACAAAATGTTCACTAAATCTTACCGTTAAGACGCCATGCCACATGCCCATATCCTTCTTACAGTCCAACACATTGACCAGTGTCTCCCCTAAGACAAAAAACATAAAGACACACAAGTGAGGATTTGGAAATCACTTGCTAACTTGGTAAAAGATTCACCATTTGTTTATGTTTAGTGAGTGTAAGAGAAGTAACAGTCTCTGACCTTCACAGTAGTTACAGGCCTGCGTCAGAGCCTGACAGTGGGTCAGCATGGAGATCTTAGACACAGCAACTCCCATCACTGTCCCCTCCTTACTTGCTTTGTACTGGAAGAGACATACACACAAACAAAGAGCATTTGAACTTGAACATGAGAAAACCTGCCCTTTATTGTCAGGTTGTCTATTTGTCTCTATTCTTTTTTAAATATAGATAGATTTTTATGTCTGAAAGAGCCGTAAAATTGGCAGGTAATATTTGAGTTGCATTTGTGAGGTGATAGCAATGTAACCATTTTTGTTTTTTATATCACCAAATTGTTTTGTGGTTACCTCTATGTAGGCAGTGTCGGTGTTGGCAGTGGGGATGTGAGGCTGCCAGTCTTTGGATGGTTTGGTCAGATACTTTGTGTCCGTCACTACCCATTTCATCCTTGGCCATCCTGGTGAACACAAAACAAATATATAAAACACAGAATTGTTTTAGCTAACACAAAGGAAAAACAAAGTTTGTACAATTGAAGCCTGACAAAATGAACAGTGTTCACTTTGCAAACTGCTGGTTTTAAGGCCAAAGGTGAACAGACTTAACAAGCAGAGTGATTACAGATATATCCGTTTACACAATATGGCCCTACATTTGATATCACATTGTATATTCCTGGCTCCCAAAAAGACTGATACAGACTGAGGCAGCATTAAAAGTAGTGTATTTGCGCAGACTGACCTTTGAACTGGATGATCTCTCCGTTTGGAGACTTGGGCAGCCCTTTGAGGCACACCTCGCTGGTCAGAGCCAGACTGACCCCACAGCTGCCCAGCAGGAAGCCGATCTGCTGGCTGCCTGCGTCCTGTGGACAGAGGGAAGGGTCATGAGACTCACAACACACATACTGTGTAATACTGTGACAGTTGAAAAACACACATGCGGTGTACTGTAGCTGTCAAAACATTGGTCTATAAATAAATATGTATTTAAGGTGATATGAGCAACGAGGCATTATATATACCAAGAAGAAACAAATAAATGTATCAGGAATTGTAGTCTTGTAAAAAAATAGCTACTCAGTTACAATTGACCTAGTTTTAGTGCCAAACAATCAAGGCAACTAATTATCTTCATCGTCATATTCTACACTCAAACTTAAATCCCATATTTTGAAACATTTATCCTGGTATAAAAGCTTTTCTTTATTATTGTTCACTTTCAACTACAATGTAACACACCTTTTAAAAATATGATGTTATACATTTCTTAGGGATTAAATGCTTGGCCTATGATGTCATGATGGTGTTATATAAGATACGTGATTGATTAGAACTTGTCTTTATTATGACTTGAAGCAACATTTTATTTTAAATGCAGCCAACTACAAACGTTCTGCCTTTTCGTCCTCTGTGTTGATCTACAGGTGTGCATACAGTAGGTTCTGCTCTTTAAGATAATCAATAATAAAATCAGATTTTGTATTTCTCTGTGATAACCAGAGGAATTCACTTGACAACAGTGATGTTGTTACCTGTCGTGACAGTGGGACCTCAATGGGCACAGGGATGACCTCGGCTAACAAGCAGCCATAGAAAGCCACCCAGAACATACCAGGGTCGCTGTTGGGATACACCAGGGCTACCTGAGGATCAGAAAAAGGTTATTACTCCGTGTTCCTTTATCGTTTAACAAACTGAGAGGAGACTGACAGACTCTTACCCGATCTCCAGGTTGTAGGACAGGTTCTGTCTTGGTGCCCAGTTTATTCAGCAGTGTATAGGCCAGCTTCAGACTGCGACTCCATAGTTTTCCTGTGGATGAAAAGAGCAATTGATGGTTTTAACTCGTCCTGTTTGTTGTTTCTTATCTGTGTTGTATAACAGATCAAGGATAGCTCAACTCCACAACCCACTGCAGCTCCAGTAGGACACATACATGTAGGTGTTATCTGCTCAAGCCAGAAATGATTGCTCATATGCAAGAAATAAATCTCACATTTACATTTAGCAGACACAATGACATAAATGTTAACTCTGGGCTATACAGATGTTTCTGTGAGTGCTGCTGACCGTATGTGACAGTGTAGAGCGGTTTGCCGGTGACGTCCAGAGCAGTGAGAGCGGGGCTCTTGGCCTGCGTGGCCCCCCAGCGAGCCAGGGCAGCCTGCAGGGCGGGGGGCCAGTTACTGACGACTCCGAGGGGCTCCCCTTTCACCGGGATGATTTGGCGTCCCTCTGGCTTCGGGGTGTTGGGGTCCGGCTGGGGCACTGGACCAGAGGAGAGCAGAGGCAGGAGATGATTAGGAGAAGCCGAGAGCATGTGACATTTATTCCTTAACAGTTTATTAATGTTTTTATATTTATAATAATTGTATAATTGCTTTAGCCAATTCTTTCTCATTTCCATTAATAATGCATAAATGAAGTGCTGCGGGAATCAGTCCTAAAGCACTTCCTCATCTTGAAGTCAGCAGGTTTCTTAGAAAGGTTTAGTCAGATGCCTATATGTTAATAATAAATATGTTAATAAATACGATGTATAAACTTTACTTAAACCTGTCACATGAAGTCACATGAAGATTAAAACCTTAGGCTTGCAAACTATTCAAAGTCCAACTTAAAAGCTAGAGGAAGTAACGCTAGGGGGAATGCCTCTTTGTATAAGAGTTAAGCACACAAAATCCAGTTGGTATGTTGAATTTGAAAGGGAAGAAGGGGGAAATGCACACTAATGTGCACATATGTATGAAAAGTGAGGGCTTGTTCCTCGGGTGATTTCAGTTCAACCCATTTGTTGCTGACAAAATGAATGCACCCTTGTTATCTCACCTTCTACAATTTCCTCAGAGTCATCGAGGAAGAATTCGCTGAGTGGTGGTCTCTTCGGCCGTTTGAGTGTGTTCAACAGCTGCTGGATCTTAGTGGACACTCTGCTGTTGACAGGCACGCCTGCACAAACACCAAGACAACAGCCACTGTCACAAACACATGAAAACAATCAACCAAAATAACACAAGCACACACCCACACATGCAATTCTATTGTAACACAAATGCTAATGTCATGTATCGCACACTCTCACACAGGCAGAACCAATGGCACTAGCACGCAGGCAGGATCAGAATCAGCAGCAGGAAGGAGTCGAGGGAAATTGGTAGGACACAGATTGGACACTCTTTAGGAAAATCAACTATATACAAGGAGGTTCTCTATGTCTAAGCCTAGGACACGAGACAAACATAGAGACAGAGAGAAAGACACCAGGCTGGAAAGCAAGCTGGGGCTCTTCAGCATCCCACCCTTTCCCCCGATTTCGTTTATATTACCTTTTCTTTTTTCTTTTTTAAATGAAAGTCAAGACAGGGACAGGATTAATGGACCCAAAAGAAAGAACACAGATATCTGGGATTAGCGGCGTTCACCACACAGTGGAATGAGGATATGTTGAAGATGATTCTGGGTGAACATGGCCTGATGGTTTATTGATTTGAAGGCACTCGAATCAGCTTCGTCACTGCAATGCTGTGAACCATAGGGTCAATGCAAAACAGAGAACGTCACTCAGCTGCCATGATTAGCACATGCAAATGGTTTGACCTCCCAATCTCAAGATCCATCATCAGATGACAGATATCAAATTCAACACATTTCAGGGAATAGAAAACTACTGTGATATTTTCTATGCAAATTAGAGGAAATGCTAACCCTTGTTAAAACATTCAAACCACATATAGGTATTTATAAACATATTTTTCTTGTGTGAGTCTACCGTCGGCAGTATCCATCATGCTGGAGCGGCTCTGTCCGCGACTCATGCCTCTGACGGCTGGAGGCAGGTCCACCCTGGACCCTCTCTCCTGGGGAGTCGAGGATGTCACATCTGGGGGGACGCTGTTTTCTAGAGAGACAAAAGGAGGAGGTCATACATGGAAACAACAGCTAGCCGTCACTGCTATGTATCTTGTTACATTAAAGGTTTATTAATTATGTGTACCTATGCGAGTGTGGGCCAGCACATCGGCCAACACGGAAGCAACAAGTTGGGCTTGGGGTTGGGACTGGGACTGGGGCTGGGACTGGGACTGGGGCTGGGGTTGGGGCTGGGACTGGGGCTGGGACTGGGACTGGGACTGGGGCTGGGGTTGGGGTTGGGGTTGGGGCTGGGGCTGGGGTTGGGGCTGGGCCTTGGGCTCTCCATGGGAGAGGGTGGAGGACGCAGACGAGGACGTGGAGGAGCTTTGTACGGAGCGGTTGATCCAGTAATCGGGGCTCTGCAGGCTCTGGGCGAGCACTGCACTGAGAGCTGCCTTTCTGCGCAGTGAGCCATCATCCTCTGATGCAGAGGATGTGTCTGATGGAAAGAGAAAATCTTGAATATTTAGATGGTTGTCTTTAAAGTATTTTACCCCAAATGATACAGCTATAATGTGGCTTGACATCTTTCTTCAAAAAGGTGGAGTCAGCTACGGAGAAGCACAGGCTGGGATACAGGCTAAAGCCACACTAAACACAAAGGATCACCGTGCAAACAAGCACTAAGCACCATTTCATAAATAATCTCTGTTAATATTAACACGCATAAAAACAAAACACACATTGCTCAAATAAAATATGACATCCTGCACATGAAGGAAGGAGTAGATTGATTCAATGAATTGAACAGCTTAAAATCCCCAGAGTAGTGTCAACACTAGGCAAAAACGTTTTAAATGTTGTGTTTATTTATTTGTTTAAATCCTATCAGTGTGGATGTAGCCACAGTGTCTTGATCCAGAGACTACTATTCAGTGTGTGGATCTAGTTTTTACCTGGAGGTGTGCAGTTCTCTATGGGAGACTGGACAAAGGCTGAGCGTCTCTTTGTAGGCATCGGTAGCGCCATCTTCTCCTCCTTGTGTTTGGCCAGGGCTGCCTGCACAGCCTCCGTGTGGATGTCTACATAAACAGCCAAGATAACAGAGAGAGAAACAAGTGAAATATTCAGAATTAGAGGAATAAAACATAGAGGGTTGCCACGCTTGTTAAGGCTGCTTAATTCTTGTGTTTAATGACTCTTTAAAGTATCTCTGTGTGTATGCTGTGTACGCTGTGTACCTGATCTGTAGCGGTCGTCCCTGGCCCCTCCACTGCGGTGTGCACGGTGGTGTCTGGCGGCTGAAGATGTGGAGGGGCCCGGGGCCTCGGGGCTGGGGCTGGGGTCAGCACTGTGGCCTGGGGTAAGCTGTACATCTGGCAGAGACAGATCCACATCTACAGGACAGAAGCGGGTAAGTCAAACACATGTAGGGCAACATTAATTAACAACAAACAAACATGAGACTTCTTGCTTTACATAATGCCATTACACTTACATGTAGGCATTAATATTATATTATGCTCTCTAAATGTAGCCTGACTACAGAGCCTCTGAGCATGAAGTGAATTAGGGACATGTACTTGACTGATGTGACTTGTACTGTTACGCAGTACATAAAACTAGGCTAGATTCAAACTAAATATATTTTTAGCAAACTCCTCCCAGAGTCCCGGTGCAGATGATGGTTCAGAGGGATAAGGAGGCCCAATGGGACGAGTGCCGGAGCAGGCGGTGACCTCTGGAGTTTCAAACCAGCTTTGACATTCAGAGCAAGCTGCCCATTACAAAGCAGGACCCTCTAACAACCATGGGAATGTAATTCAAGTACTAAATATAGAAATGATCCATATGAGATTTAGATTCCTGCAGTGCTTTTCAATTCTCTGTGTGCGTAATCACGTCACATGTGTCATGTGGTAGCGCAAGCCCAAACAGGCCAAGGTTAAACTAGGTTGAAAGGAAGTGAAATGTTCCTCTCTTTTTAAAATGAGTTTACAGTGACTCCTCGAGAAGGATTTCTTCATGCCGATGCTAATGTGGTGCAATTCTTCCTGAGGAAACACCACACCCTCATGTGAGTCAGCTGACCGAGAGAAGTGAACAGATCATCTTACCAGCGAGAACAGAGGTGACTGTAGTACAGTGAAACTCTGGTACTCCCCTACTTCTGATAGTAAAGTGTGAAGCAAAGTGTGTTGAAAGCTTAACTCATTCTGTGACTTTATTCTGGAGATGTTCTACGGCTGTGCAGATATAAGAGAAATTGTTACTGTATGCTTTGTTATCATTGTGTCATTCCCATGTTGGCCACTAGAGGGCCACAGAAAGCCAGAAATTCTATTTGACAACTTGGACAAAGAGAATTACAATCACACTGTATACTCAGTGAAGCTACTTTTTATTGAGCTGAAGAAAATATATATTTTTTTTTCTTGTTATTTCCCTGTACAGATGGTGAAGAAGAATCTTTGCGTAGATGAAACATCATGCATACTTAAGTCAAGATTTGAAGAGATATTTTTGAAGAAATTACTTAGTTTCCCCATGCCAGAGTGACTAGCACCAACAATGCTGGAAGAGGAGGTAACAACTCAAGTAAAGAAAGAAAGAAATCGAGAAAGGTAAGAAGTGAAATAAGGAAAAGCAAAGAGCAGAAGAAGAGTTTGTCTTACTTGGCATGTGTGGGATGTAGGAGGCCATCAGCTTGGATTTCTTCTTCTCATATCCCTTCTGTGTGATGTCGCCTAGGAGAGAGGACAGCGACACCACACCGTTAGGTTAGTCATAATTACCACACAAACACAGATGAGCCAGATGTAGTACAGACAACACTCCTGTGACACACACACACACACATACCATGTATACATCACTTCAGGGGACATTACATTGACTTACATGCATTTCCTGGAGACTTATCCTAACCTTAACCATAACCAACACATGCCTAACCCTAACCCTTAACCTAACCAAGTCTTCACCCTAAAATTAATGATTCCCCTCATGGGGACCTCCAATTTGTCCCCATAAGGGAGGCGAGTCCCCACACGTGACTGTGTAAACAGATTTAGGTCCCCACAAGTATAGTAATGCTAGGCCACACACACACACACACTCATAATAATAATCCTCTTTAAAACAAATCTACTGATGTCGACGGCTCAGTCCATTTACAACGAGGCAAGGAGATAGCACAATTGTTTGGCCTTACATTAGCCCCGGCGAATAAACATGATGAGTGTACAAAAGCCTCCTCCAGGCTACGAAACCCAAATATGATTACAGCAACTAGCAGATAACCGAGCGTGGCAGGAACAATGGCAACACTGAAGGCTATCGGGAAGAAGGGATAGTTAGCAGAGCAAAAAAGGAAGCCATTTCAGTGGGTTTCACATGGGACTCAACAGTTTATCTCCCCCACCCCCGTCCCCCCTCTTTTTCCCCACTGTACACCCAGCCCTTCCTCATTTGGCCTTGGACTGGCCGGACTCTCACACACCGCTAACAAAGTTTGTCGGAGAGCAACAGAGGCAAAGTCAATTTAACTGGGACCCCCAAAACACACAGTGTGCTTGTGCAGCAAACAAGCATGCAGGGCACACCCTTTACAGTTCACTTACATACATACACACTTCCCTTGTACACACAAACAATCCCAGTACTGCAAACTCTCTGTTATTCCCCTCCCGCCGTGTCCAGTGATAACACCGAATGCTATGTCAAGTGCAATAGTGCCAACAGACTGCTTAGCCTCAATCCCTCCTCCACACTGTGACAACTCGGAAACCCTCGTCCAGCCGACTGACAGGGGGAGGACATGGAGAAAATCACAGATAACAGGCAGGGTTGTATGGGGTGAGGTGATAAACACCTGGCAGGAGGCACTGGCAGATTTGAGTGGGAACATAGGCCGGTGTGTGTGTGTGTGTGTGTGTGTGTGTGTGTGTGTGTGTGTGTGTGTGTGTGTGTGTGTGTGTGTGTGTGTGTGTGTGTGTGTGTAGAGAGAAAATGAGGAGAGAGAGAGATCAGGAGAGACAGAGTTCAGCAGCAGATTGGAGGGAGGTGGGCTGGATAAGCCGACACAGGGTGGGGAGTCCCGAGTGTGACTCAGTTTCTGTGTGTCTTTAAGCTTTCACACAGAAAAACCACTGAATTAAGAAGAAAGCTCCCCAAAGGGTTGAGTTTGTAGATTTGTATACTTGTATTCCTGATCCTTTCCCATGCAGGGAAGTGAGGTTTCACAACACTGAGAAATCACAAGGAACAGGGGGAGAAAGAGGGAGTAGAGGGAGTGCAGGGACAGAGAACAGCAGAACAAAGTCGGAGTTTAAGAGGGAGTGAGTGTGTGATTGAGTGTGGAGTGCTTTGTCCTTCTCTGCGGCGTAAGAAAGATTTGAATGGGGGGGGGGGACAGCAGTGACTTCATGCCTGGGTACACACACACTGACCTGAAATGGACTTGTGATGAAAGACAGAGCAGTAATGTGTTAGTCGTTTTCTCTTTTTGTTTTGGCAGTGATGAATACAACCAAGTATATTTACTTTACTTGAGTATTTTATGCATCAATATACTTCTACGCGACTCGATTTTGTAAGCCAATTGTGTCCTTTTTGCTTCAACACATTTATCTTCCAATTTAAGGTATAAGTTACTTTGCAGATTCAAAATATAAATCGAAGACGAATCATTTATGATGTTACTTAATGATACAAGTCAAGCAACCCAGCAGTATGTAAGTCATTGTCATTAGCCCCACTTTTACCAGCTGCTAAATGAAATTGGTAAACACATGAATTCATCATTATCTCGAAATGAGCCGTTTACATAATGAAGTGGCCTACACTTTTGGAAATGTAAATATATTTTCATGCTTAAAATGTTGCATTTTTAATTGGGATTGATTCAAGATTTTTGAGTGCCGGACTTTTACTTGTAACAGAGTATTTCTACACTTTTTGTATGGTCACTTCGTCTTAAGCGAAAGATCCGAGTGCTTCTTCCACGTCTGGACGCTACAGGCTTGTTAATGTGGAGATAAACACTCAGACAGACGTGCAAGCGCAGCAATCGGCAGCAAATTGATTGTCGTGGACTGGAACGTCATTGTTGTTGGAGACTGGGTTCTGTCCAGCCCAGTGCTGGTGTCCAAGTGGTGCCCGCAGGGAGGAAGGGAGGCATGGAAAGATGGAGGGTCATTAACACAGACAGAGCAGAGTCTGTATTAGGGTGAAGGCATAACAACGGGCGAAGACTGACACGACCACAGCGGCTCTGTGGCTGTCAGTGGGTAGAGACAGCGAGGGTCTGCACTGAAAGAGAGCAGCTGCTTTAAGACAGAGGGAAAGCTGTGTGTTTTGAGAGCAAGAATGTGGTGTTTTGAGTGCGAGCATGAGCAAAACAGTACAGTGACTGTGAGTGACTGTGTGCGTGCGTGTAATCTGAGGTCAGGGGACAGGATATGAGCGTTACCCCACCCTGTGTGCGCTGCCAAAAAATCGTCTCCCTGTGCTGTCTAGAGAAAGAGGAATGTGCTGATTGGAGAACACGGTGCTAACGGCGAGAGCCAACTGGCCAGGAGAGCGAGCCCATTGGCCAAAAGCTCCCCTGAGGTGCAGGAAGCGAATGTATTGGTGTGTGTGCACAGCTGGTGCAGGTTAAGGGGTGCTACAGTACACAGAGGAACGAATGCTGACAGGAGCAGAGCTGTATCACAGGCCTTCTCTGTGAGATGTGTGTCAGTGTGTCAAACCAGGATGTGTGTTGTTGGCCATGCATATCATTGACATATTCATCATAGTTACAGTAGAGACAGGTTTTCATGCTGTGTAGAGAGATGAGCCTCCAGAATTTGGAAAGGCGAGAAAACAAAACACCTTGCAAAAATATTACACATTCAACCACAAATCCCTGAGATGCTGATTCACACGGGACTAAAATAATCAAATAATTCCTGCGTCAGTGAAATACGGTAGGTAATTGAGGTACTGGGCCATGTGCATAGGATTAAGATCAGAGACGTGGTTAGTGCCAATAGGGCTTTAGACGTATGAATGATCCAGTGACTGAGGTCATCTTTAAGCGACTGTCATAATCCTCCCTCCTGTCATCTAGGGGTTTTACAGTTTGTCTGTGTGCAAACAGGCCAATGCTGAAGAGCTCATTCAAGTGAAGTTGACAGTGACCTGATGACTTTTCCTTTAAACTGCTGCTGTTGACCTCTGACCTCAGGTCGAGTCAGACGGAGGGCTGATCCTCTCACAGCTGACACACAGGGTCACAGAGGGGATACACACACACATAAACAGCATTCCAAGTTAAACCAATAATAACAGCGAGCCACGTTCTGACATGACGGGATTTTACTGTAGAAGTTGTGCATTAGTGAATCACTTTAGTTTGTAATCTGCACTGGCACATAAGAGCCTTTTGCGTTTGTGCTAGAGATGTCCCGATCCGATCACGTGATCGGGGATCGAAGCCGATCACGTGATTTTCAAAAGATCGGAATCGAGAGAAAAAGATTGGGGATCGGGAATTTTTTTTAATTTTTTTAATTTAATGTTACAAAACAAAAATTACCATGTTCACGTCTTAAAGTCATCCTGAGGCCTTCGTTTTGGTTTAAAATGACACAACATCATGTATGTGTTGCTTCTTTTGGGCTTGTTTTCAGACCTGGTTGCTTTTTCTCTCAAATCTGGCAACAGAGAGGGCGCAGTGTCTAATAGTAGCAGTAAGCTAGCGAGAGGCTACGTTCAGCTGGTGACTCGGGAGTCGGGACGGAGCAAATGTCAGGAGTTTGGAAGTATTATAAAATTGAAAGCGAAGGCAGTGTAACAGCCAGATGCAATGTTTGCAAGGCGGAGGTTCCGCGTGGTGGAAAGAACACCTTTGTTTTCTCTTAATGCATTGCATAAAGGTCGGATCGGGAAAAATCGGTATCAGCAGATTGTCAAAATCAAATGATCAGAATCGGAAGCAAAAAAAGGTGATCGGGACATCCCTAGTTTGTGCAACAGTGTGCACTGCATTATGGTTAAAGCCATCACATATATATCATAATGTTTCTTCAAATGACAAACTCTGGTTCGAATGTAAGATTAATTACAGCTATCCTCGTCATGGTGTGATTTAAGTTTATATGCAGCTTGATGTTTGTTCTAAAAAGAGCAAACTTTGCCTTTGAAAGATGGATTGAGTAAACCGGTGCTTTAAGTTCATTCTGTTTTCCCTCCATTGTGATTGATCTGTAGTATTAGTCGTGAATTACACTCACAATTGTGGCTTATGTGAAATGAATCCAAGAAAGATATGAGCAGACCAGATGCAGGAGTACTTAAAGGGCACTTAATATCGTGATAGTCCTTTCCATGGGCTCTTTCCAAGCTGCTGATATGTTGAATCATCTGATTGACTAACTGCATCTGAATCACTTGAAATATGTTTTTCGGGGTCATTATTAACAATAGACTTAATAATTGGCCTCCTCAAACAAACGTTAAGAGTAGCACTAATACCACATCAATGGTGAATAACTGATGAGTAATAAACACCGCACAGTCAGAGAGCACTGGGAATGAAATGCTAAGGGTGTGATTATAAGCACATGCTGTGTGGGGGGGGGACAATACAATGAACTCAGATAAACTGGGACAAATCCTCACCTGAAGCACCTTAAGCATTATGCAAGACTGCAGGTCATTCAATGGGTAACGTTATGAGAGTTAGAAAGAGTTGAATTCA